TGTGAGTGTATAAGTGAGTTGAGTGTGAGCTGAGTGTGAGTTTATAAGTGAGTTGAGTGTGAGTGTATAAGTGAGTTGAGTGTGAGTGTATAAGTGAGCTGGGTGTGAGTGTATAAGTGAGTTGAGTGTGAGTGTATAAGTGAGTTGAGTGTGAGCTGAGTGTGAGTGTATAAGCCCACTGCATACTGTAATACTGACTGTTACATTTAGAAATAGTGAATAAAGATATAATAAAGGTGCACTATATACAGAACAAGGGGTCGATTTGAGACACATCCGCCGTATTTTCATGAAAGACTGCGCACTTGCTAAGTTATTTTTCTCACAGAAGCAGAAGAATGAATTGTGATTGGCTGAAAGAAACAGTCCGAGGCTGTGAGATGTGAGCTGTGTGAGCGCAAGATGGCGCTCTTTGTCTCTAATTAATAGCGCAGGTTAAACCGATAGATTCTACTAAATAGTGTGCTAAATGTAGTTTGATTGTAGGAAGTGTAGAACTATGTGGGATTGGGCAGTGTCTGCACTGGTGGTTTATGATCGGCAGGTCAAAAAGGATTCACGCACAAACTGACTTCAGTCGGTTATTAATTATAGCTTATCGAATAACGATTAAGGCGCTGTTTTGGACCGAACAGACTCCACGTCAAGTTCAGATGATGTAAAAGTATTTGAATCTCGCGAGGAAGAGCTGCTGTCTCGCGAGGAGACGCTCTGTGCCGCGCGCATCTTCCCGCGTGCGCTCACTGCAGACAGACGGAGCTGGGGAAGCCGGCCATGCGTGGCGCGTGCTACACCAACCGCACTTTCGTGGACGACGACGGGCGCGCAGCGCGAGACGCACCGGCACCAAGGTACCGCGCGCGCCACGACCCCACTACACCCCGCACTTCACCCCAATCTGTCACCAAGTTATTTTAAACATTAACATATTGATGTAAAACAACTGATGCAACCTATTTATGCATGCATATTTGCCTTTAAAATACATATGCTCTAAAAGTATATTACACATGTGGCGATTACGTCAGTATGTTATAATTTTAGTAAGTTATTTGATAATGTCTTCGCAATGATAGGAATATCTGACAGTTTTGATACTATAATAATAATAATAATAATAATAATAATAATAATAATGATAATAATAATAATAATAATAATAATAACTAACACCACCACCAACAACAACAAAATAATAATAATTATTATTATTACTATTATTATTATTATTATTATTATTATTGTCGCTGTATCATTGCTTCTGTCTTTCTTTCTTTCTTTCTTTCTTTCTTTCTTTCTTTCTACCAGAAACTGTAGCCTTTTATTTAAACACTAAAACAGCCAAAGTGTTAGGTTTAGGTGGAGACATTGTTTAGCTGCATGAATAATTTTGAAAATGGAAGGTCCTCACAAGGATAATAAGACAGACGTATTTGTGTGTGACTGTCATAAGTGTCAGTGGAATGAGGTCTGTATATTGATAGTGTTGGTATAACTGGTACAGTACCACTGATACAGTGTACAGTTTAGTGCAATGCCACATAGCATTACTGGTTAAAAAATGTCATTACATTTTTAGCCATTAACTAAAAATCTTGCAGGTTGTTTAGTTTTTGCACAGAGCCTGGATATGTTGGATGCTGAACTTGCAAGATCCTGTATTTTTGCTGTTCTCGCTTCTACAGCCTTGAAATGCTTTCTCTTTCCTTGTTCATCTGATTTATTTCACTGACACGTGATGTTCTGGCTCTACAATTCTGTTTGCCCCTGCTAGACATCTATTTAAATAAGAATTCATTTTTTAAATGCAATTATGATCTATTGTCCAACTATTATCTATTACTAGATAGGTTAAAAGCATGACATATGATTTTTATAGGAATATTAATAAATTTATTTGTAAATCTTGTTCTCTTCCTTCTGTGATAAATGGGTGGCACGGTGGTGCAGTAGGTAGCATTGTTGCCTCACAGCTCCAGGGTCCTTAGTTCAATATTGAGCTCACATTACTCTCTGTGCGGTGTTGTGCATGTTCTCCTTGTGTCTGTGTGGGTTTCCTCTGAGTTCTCCGATCTTCTCCCACTTCCCAAAAACAGGCCAGTAGATGATTTGGTTATGCTAAATTGCCCCTAGTGTGAATGGGTGTGAATGTGTGTGTGCATGGTGCCCTGTGATATACTGGCATCTCATCCAGGGTGTATTCCCACCTCAGTGTTCCCAAGATAGGTACAGATCCACAGTGACCAGGATAAAGCAGGTTCTTGTCTTCTCTCTTTCTCTCAGCTTTTTTAGAATTTTTAGATCAATTTTAGCCAGATTCTTTGCTGTCTGCTTCCTCAGTTTTTGTTTTAATCATATTTTTGTGCTCATCTTAATGAAAATTTTATGTTAGCACAGGAAGATAATTGGGGTTATTGGGGTACTAATAGCAGCAGCATCAAAGCTTAGCAAAACTCAGTTTGGTCTGTAGTCCACTTTACTAAATATAATATTATATTTTGATTACAAGACCCTGTTATTTTCTTATTTCCTTTGACGAGACAGCGACAGGCTGGACTGACCCATCCGATATGCAAATACGGTATATCTTTTAGGGCAGATGTTCCACTGATGTCTGTATTAATGTAGCTAAATAATGCTAAGCTTATAAGTTTATTTATTTATTTTATTAATTAGCTTCTCATTAATCGAAGTATGTCATTATACAGTTATACTTATTAAACAACAAAACATGCATACCATACAGTGGTCAGAAATCGGAGGCCTGGTGAACGTAAGTGCATGCACAATCGTTATTAAAATCCAAGTCAGCAGGCAGAATTATAATAAGTAAACAGCCAAAGGTTGAACAAACAAACAAACAGAGCAACATATGCAAAACTGGATCCAACATGAAGTCATCCAAAAAGGTCAAAACCAGGAAATCAATCAGAGAATAATGCTCTGAATGGATTACCTGCAGTCTGTCTGTTAGAATAGTGCAGCCCTGTGATACAGTGAGACAGCTTGTCCTTCAAGTTTCTCTAACTATTTTCCTATAAGCTATTTATGTGAATAATATATAAAATAGCTATTTTTGTTCCTTCATAGCTGTGTATGCATGGCGAAGCATACAGTTTGAACCCTTCAGTTTGCTTGAAGGGGCTTTGCTAGTGTTATTACATATATATTGTACATTATTAACATTAATGTTTGGCACTACTGCTCTTGCAGGCACAACTGTCATAATATCACCATTGCAAGTATGGTTAAAGTGCAGGAAACACAATATTAAGAAGACTGTGGAAGTATTTGTGCAATTAGCCCATTGCTAGCAAACCAGATGGCAAAAACTTGCAAGGAACAAATGTTTATGAACTGTTTGAATAGAATAGCATTCAGAAGAATGTACGGCTTGCAAAGTTCATGCTGGTTTGGAATCTGGACTAGGAGCAGTGGGTCCTGGGCTGGCAGTGGAATCACCTGTGTTCATACTAGTGAGTGGCAATGCGACAAAACTAGTTGAAGATGTATAGATATTTAGGCATATGGTGGTGCCTCTGGTGAGTGTATGTAGCTAGTACAGTTAGGTTGTGCTGCTTATCTGCTAGCTATCTGCTAAAGTTAATATGAAGCCTGATGTGTAACATATATTAAACAAGAAATTTTTCACACTTTTTCACTTTAAATACATTTTAAAGACTTAAATTGTACGATTTGTACTGTAATAAATCGTATGCTATAGGCTATACTTTTTGACTGCTACCCTTTCTCATCGGATCTAATAACGCGTCCAGTACACGGCCACAAGCAAGAACAGTAGCACTTGCTTCATGCATACAAGAGACAAACTACAGTACAAGCGACATCAGTGACTAATGTGAACTCAGGCTCAGACAACAGTTGTGTGCAAATGTTTGCATCTCCTCAGAAGTATGGATGAAAAAAGGAAAATCTACCATTATTGTGTGATTCTTTTTACATTATTATTATTATTATTTTTTTTTTTTTTACAGTTCCACAAGAAATAGTATTCTAAGGAGTAAAAAATGAATTGTGGGACACTCAGTAGCAAAATAACTTGAAAAGCGTTTCCTTCTACATTTTGTTTCATGCTATGCAAACTTTTGCACTTGACTATATTAGCTCAGCAAATGTAACACTTCCCTATGCACTTAGCACAAAAATGCTATAAAAAAAAAACCCTGAAAATCTTGTCCCAGAAATGATTGTTACATTCAGCATTAACACTGTGACAGCAGGGATGGTCAAAAGAAAGAAGGAGAGGTCAGAGAGATGAGCGGGTAATGAATGAGTGTCTACACCTGTGCGCTGTTAATGGCACCATACTCATGTGCCTCTTATTTCTCAGTAAGCTGCTGGTGCCAGAGAGAGGCAGATGTCTGAGAACATGAATGGAAGTTGACTTTGAGACAAGCAGCTAAATTGTATTTGTGTGTTCTCTTTTATTCTTCTATTTGTGTGGTCAAGCTGAGATGTGACCCCTTGAAAATAAAAAGAAAGCTCTGATGTCCAGATGCCTGCCTCCTGTGACTCATTCCCCACCCAGCCAATTGGGTTGGCACAATTCTTTTGGCAAAATTATGCATATTGCCAACAGTTGTAGAAACAGTTTTAGAAGTAAAATAACAGAAAGTATCTTAATCTGCTAGCTAGCTTCCTCCAATCCAGTTTATATATATTTACTGTTCAGAGAGATGTTAGCAGCTGAGCGAGCCTACAGATGAACACAGAGCAACAGAGGCACTAAATGATATGTAAATCTGCAAGATTTGTGTTAGACTTTTTTAAAACCTGCCTGTCCAAAGATGCCAAACATGTTGTCAAATATTTTCCTGTTCTGTTACAGATATTTATTTTCACAATATGGGCTATACCACTGCACTGATTATTTAAATAGTATGCTGCTATAATTACTGATAATGAGGACTAAGAGTACCATGGAGAAAATTTTGTGAAACCAGTTGTTTTATATAATTATATTTATAATTACATTGGGTGCCCAGCTAGCTCAGTTGGAAGAGTATGAGACTCTTAATCTCAGGGTTATGGGTTTCAGTCCCCCGTCGGGCACCAAACCCAGCGACCAGGGTTGCATGAGCTAGTCCACTCTCAGTGCTGGTTCCTAGCCTGTATAAAATGGAAGGGTTGTGTCAGGAAGGGCATCCGGCATAAAACCTATGCCATATCAAATATGCAGATCATAAACTGAATTTCCATAATGGAGGCAGAGGATCTGCTGTGGCAACCCCTGATTGTCATATTGGCACATATTTATAATTATATTATTTGTATTCAAAAAGGAATATGAAAAATAAAGAAAGCCAGCCAACACAAACCCATACATTAAGAGAAATAAAACTAGTCATTCAATTATAACAAAACAAATGCTGTGTAAATGGAACATGGGCTGATCTGTCTGCACATAGCCATAAGTCATAAACAAATGTCTTAACTGATGAAAGATTAAAATCACACTTACAGTATGAGAGAAAAGATGTTTAAAGACCGGTATGATTTTTCCAGAGGATGAAAGCTGTATTAGTATATTATAAATCAATTACGCCTACCATTGCATCTTCTATTGATGCTGTGCAGCACATTGTCCGTGACACTTAAAACAATTTAAAATAGAGTTTTCTCTGTATGACCTGCTTGATGTGCATGAACACATGGGAACAGTGTAGATCTTTTTTTCTCCTCCGTTTTCATGTCACGCCATTTTCTTTTCACTTCATTTAATTCACACCTGATTCACCTTTTCTGTAATTTCTATCTAGATTTTGACCTTTCCAGGTGCTGTTACACAGCTAAATATTTTTTATTGGCATAGACATAAGTCAAAATAACTTATGCCTTTTTTCACCGTTTAGCGTGCTTGACCTTTTATGGAGTTTTGTGGCCATCGCTAAATGCAAGTTACGTCAGGAATACACTTTATGGGTGATTTGCGTTTTACGGGATCACTTTACAGCATGCAAGTAAGAAGAAGAAAATCACCGTTTCCAAACATTTTGTAAATCCAGCTAAAAATTTTAGTTCATTCTGTCTTATGTAAATATTTCCACACAACATTTCGATTGATAAATGAGGACCATTGCTTGCAGTTTACCAGTTTCTCTGTAAGTAGTAGAATTTATTATGACGTTTTCATCTGTTCCTGATTGAGGCTGTTTTCTGTTTCCTGTTTGCTCCTTCTCTTAGTGTGACTTCTGACTGCTCCCAAATGCTCAGTGGGGTTGTGCTCAATGTTCAGGGACTGAAGATGGCCACTGGTGAACCTGATGTCCCACCCCTCCAGGGCCGTGCCCGCTTCCGTGAACTGTTGCTGGGCGACCAGCCATGCCAAAGTGAGGACAGGTATGGCATGCTCATTGTATCCGCGATGGCTAAGCATGGCACTGACAGACTCAGTATCACTTGGAAATTACACACTCAGCAAGTTTGCAAATGTCTAAATGCAAACATATGAAGGCAAGCATGGACTCAAAACCCAGTGGTTCCCAATTGCAGGATTCCATGATCTGTGTAATTCTGTGCTTACAGTTGTAGTGGTTGTGGTAGCTTAGTGGTTAAAATGGACTACCCATTGGAAGGTTGTGAGTTCTAAATCCCAGCACCACCAAGCTACTGCTGATGGGTCCTTGAGCAAGGTCCTTAACTCTGAGCTATATAGAATGAGGTAAATGTAAGTTGCTCTGGATAAGGGTGTCTGCCAAATGCCGTAAATGGTTGTGCTAATAGCTATTTAAAAAGCATTTTACTTTTATTAGCTGTACAAATTACTATTCATATGGAATCCAACCAAACAACCCTGTGAAATTTGCACATGGTCAAATCTTTGGCAAAGGCAAATGGCAATTTATCTCCAAAATTCATTAATTAAACAAGGTCTGTACTACTACTGCCTTTTCTTGCATGATACATGGCCTAGAGTTTGTGTCCTCATGTAACAGTATGGAAGCTGTTGATGCAGAGCTGGGAGTGTAACTAATTTCATAATTTCAGGGTGACTTTTCAGGATGAGCTCTGTCAAGTCATGCAAGAAAAAAGGATGACAGCCATGACCAATACCTAAACTGGTTGTGACTTAAGTGGTATTGGCCATGGGTTCCAAGAAAATGATATTCAACAATGCAACAGTTTGATGAAGAGTCAAGCTCAGAGGAGCTTTTAGAGACAGACCGTAATGTACTCTTGGCTGTTTCTGAGTCTCTGAACTTGAGTAATGAACCAATGCTGGAGGAGAGTGCTGATAGCCTGTCATCAGTGCATTCTGAAGGTCAGAAGGTAATGCAGGAGTGTGGCTTAGCAGCAGCAGTAAATGTTATATATTTTTGTTTTTATTCTGTTTTTTTTTTTTTTTTTAATTGCATTTATTTATTTTTTTGTGACAGAAATAGCCTAATGGAGACAGACAACTTCCATCCCTGAAATGACTTTCATTTTATCAGTTGGTTTCTTTAAAGCACACACACACACACACACACACACACCTCCACACACACCTCCACACACTCATATAAACTGTTTTAGAGTGACAGTGTGCCATTCTCAAGGCCAACTGTATTGATGATCATTTTTGTCGAGTATGTGCTATGTTGCTGTGGCAACCACTGTGAACCACAGAATAAGTGAGGCAGAGATGGAGAAGGAGAAAGAGAGAGAATCTGTGTTTTTATTAGATTTATAGATTTTTCTCCAGGAAGTTGGAAATGGTTTTTTTTTTTTTTTTTTAAAAACTTTCAACTATTCATACGGCTGTTCGCTGACTCTCTGAAAAGCTAGTCAATATGCCCAGCGACAGCTCCTGCTGTTATGATCACACACACACACACACATACCCACGTGAAGCAGAGTGTGTGTATTTGTATGTGTGGGCGAGCTGTTCTGAAATCCTGCACTCCTGTGAGTCATTCGCTCCATAGCATTGTTATAGAAAGACATGATGGAGGTGAAGAGCACCATGCCATCCTGGGTTAACCCTGCTGCAGTCACATGGAGGCTCCACTCGTTTGGCAGTAATGCTGTTCAAAGGTAGTGATGAGAATGTTGGAGCATGATATTCTGCTCTCTCTGTCTTTTGTCTCTGCCACCCTGATCATCTCTCTGTCTTTGCAAGTGTGTCTCTCCCTCTGTCTGCTGACTTCCTTATTTTAGTTTGGCAGAAGTCTCCAGCTTAATTACTGAGTATTTATCTTATTTGTTAAATTACAGACCTTTGATTATCACATTTAAATCAAACCTTTAGTAAATATCAGTAAGCATGATCAGGACCACAATAGTTTCAGAAATCTTGAACAGCCATAAATTTCAAAGGAAAAGAATGCATAAGCTTACTGCCATCCCTGTATACAGTCCCTGACAAAAGTCTTGTCGCTTGTGTACAAATTGACCTGAAGTGCAGCTGAAATATATTTCTAATCAAGATTTTTTTTACAAGAAATGGCTCATTTTAATCCCCACAGCTTTTATAATAATGTTTCAGTGCAAAACGAAGCTTGTCAAAAGTATTCTAATATTCACAGCTTGGTAAAGCCCATTGAGTCA